CCAATATGCCATGTATCATCAAGCATCATCAAACTATAAGCATACTGTATATTAGCAATGCAGACATGTCATGCAAGCAACAGGCAGTACAAGAAATCTATATACAAAGAACACTAATCATATATGGACAAAAGGGGGTTCTCTTTGAGAAAGGGGTCACATTAGACCCTGAAATGATGGGGTAGAGGACTTCCTTTTTTCCTTAGCCTGGTCTCTAACCCATTCTTGCTTTTGCATTGTAAATTACTTAGCTATCTCTATGTGCATATGTCTATATATTATTATTATCATACCCTAGCATTGTGAATTATCTATGTATTGTACTGTAGCATTAGATATGTTGCTTACATGACATTTTCATTGATATTATGATGATCCAGTATATAGTATTCCAGCCATTTGATAATGCTATTTATGTTTGATTGCATATATGTACAGTAAATGGGTTTATTTGTGTGTATAGAGAAGCCTTATCTGGACAAAAGAGTAAATAGCAGACACCTTTAGTTTAAACAGCCAACTTAAAAATTGCAGATAAACGGACGCAAATCCCTTCCATAAATTATGAATGACGCCCTCGGATCCCGGGACCGGCTCCGAGGGCGTCAGGAGGAGGAGGATGGGAGATCAGCTCCTTGCTGATCTCCGTCCGGGCTGTGAATGCAGAAGTGATGTGTGTTACATCACTTCCGCATTCACCTGTCAGTCATCTGGAGAGAGAAGAAGCTGATAAAGCAGATCTCTGCTTCATCAGCTTCTTTTGGGGTCCACAGGTGATATTAGGGGTCCTAGAGAGACCCCTAATATCTCCATAAAGAGGACCTGTCAGTGTGCCTTTGCTATTATATAGGGGGTTGTTATCCCCCTATATAATAGCAATAACAATAAGTGCAAAAAAATAAATATAAATAAAAAAAAATAAAAGTAACACATAAAAAAGTAAAATAAAATAAAAGTCACATATAAAAAAAGGGGAAAAACCCCCCCAAAATGGCCACGAACGAGCACATATAGGCGATCGGCGGGCTATGGACACGCTGATCGCCTATATGTGAAACACCCGGTAACGGGTGTGTTTAAGCGTCGGGTCTTTTCTGCCCGTGCGTGCCCGCTAGGGGGCGCGCGCAAGCAGAAAAAAATTGCCGTCTGGAGACGGAAACCCGCAGATGTAGCAGTGCCGTCCGTCCGTTTTTTTACTACGGGCGGACGGCAAGAGGTTAATGATAGTATCCCCTGAAGGACCACATGTTTCCTTTACATTTCTTGTAATTGCCTTCTATAGGATGAAAGAGCACCCAGAATACCCCTTCCACGATGAGTACTGAAGACGCTCTAGCACTGACCAAGTCTCAGGAAGACAGTGAATTGTATTTGTGAAGTTGCACAACAGCTGAACTCTATTACTTACATTTTGTAACCTGCCAGTATTTCTGATTGATTGGGAAAATGCTGTTGTGTGCCATGATGCCTCATATATAACTGGTAATAAATGTAATGCTAAATATCTATAAATGTTCATGGAAGTTTGTAAACATGTCAGTTTCTGGACTTAACGCAGCTTTTATACATCTCCATGATTAAAATCCTGACATGTCAGAATATACAACAGCAGTATCATTTTTTTTAGAAATTCTCTGTATTTAATAATTAAAAAGCTGTCCATAAGCTCTAGTCAAGTGATTTTTGCCTAGGCTGAGATGATGTCATCAGTCTGCTGCAGACAGGAGGACCTCAGTTTCCTCTCCCCCAGTGATCAGTCTGTACATTGTAACTTTGTAGCAATCACAAGATGTGATGCTGTAGCAGGAGCTGATCTGGGTCTGAAATTTCTGAACACAGCCTAGAACTGCACAAGCACTAGGATTAACATCATTTCTTTGAAACAGGAACTAATATTACCCCTGTAAATGAGGTTGAACAACATGACAAGATTTTTTTTTAATCAGAGATACGGATCCGCTGCTGCTGATGCATTACAATACACAGTTACACGCACAGGCAGGAAATACGAAATTCCGTTGACGTATTTTCGTTCCGTTACGAACATTCGTTTTATATTGAAGTTAAAAAGCAAAGTACATTTATATTGGAGTTCAAGGTATTTTTTTTTAAATCCGAAAAACGGAATTCGTATTTCGGATAAAAAAAACAACTACCACTCCAATATTAACAAAGGTATTTTGCTTTTTAACTTCATCATAACGAATGTTCGTAACGTTACGAAAATATAACCGCCGCTAACGAAAATTCGTATTTTGTACAAATCCGAATCCGAATTGAGTTCAGTTACGAATTACGAAATAAGAAATAACGGATATTCCGAAACGAAACAGAACGACCTAGGTGACGGCGTACAAGTGTAATAAATAAATAAGTTCAATTATTATACTGACACATTACTTAGCAATGAAGTGCATCTAAACCCAAATACAAAGATTTGATTTATTGCAGTTTACCAGCCTTTAGATATGGTGGGGGTAATAATTTAATTTTTTAAGCCTTTTTCCCTTTTTTTCACTTGATGATCCTGTAAATAGCAGACTTCCTGTCCCAGGGTGGCTACACTTTCTTACCCCACTGTATCCAGTGGCGTCGCTACAGGGGGGCAAGGGGGTGCTGGAAATTGCCCAGTTCCCCCCCCTTTCCCCCGAGAAAATAGTCTCTCCCTCCGCCGCTCTGACTGGACTGGCCGCACTGCACAGGCAGCAGAATCAGAGTGAAGCAGCAGGGTGACGTCACTCCAATCCGCCACTGTTAGCGGGGGGGGGCAAGGAAGAACCTAGGGGGGGGGGAATTGCCCCCCTGTAGCGACGCCACTGGATAGTGACATCCCTCTGGTCAGCTACCGAGGCACACCGCTCTCCATCCTGAAAGAAAAAAAAAACAACTTACCTCTCCGCTCTCCTTCCTGAGTTCCTTGCTGACAGGCTGCATTCTTTGTTACTCCTGCCCTTTGGAGCTACACACTGACATGCTCTCCAGCACCTTCCATTGTCTGAAATTACAGAAGTCTGCTTACTGCAAGTATACCTTTGAGTTGGCATAGTTAACCCTTCACTGACATTGCTGGGATTGCTATTAATTTGTAAATGGTTCAAGTACTGTTGCTATTGGAGTTTCATTTAAAGGTCTAATGTTAGTCTTAGGCCTGGTTAACACCTGCACATTCTGAGGACGACTGGCGATGTGCGTGATCGGCATGTCTCTGTGGAAACGTGCCAAGACGCACTTGCTGTGCCATTGATTTCTAAAGGCACCCCAAATGTGGCCAGCAAGTAGTGAGGTTTTCTGCTGCGTTTTCATGCATGCAAAAGCAGCAGAAAAATGCATCCCGCAGGTAAGTATTAACCCTTTGCAAAAAAAATATTTTTTTAAAATGTTCTGCATATATCTACTGCTTGCTAGCAGTAGATACATGCAAAAAAAGTGAGGGTTTAATAACCCTTTAAGTCTGGGGCACTCCATCCTTCACACTGTGCCGGGATCATGTGTATCACAAAGCTCTACAGCAACAAAACATAGTAATGTGCAATGTGGATGACAGACCCATTTTAATGACATTAATGTGCCACATGTGGTTTGGCAGAAATTCCATTGCTGCACACAAAAATGTCAGGAAGTGTAGAAAAATAAAATAAAAAAGGACAAACAACTGCAACGTAATGTATTACTACAATATTCTATTGTGTAAGCAACACCTTTATTTTCTGGTAGTGCCCCTCCCGACATTAGATTCTGGACACGCCCCTGCCCGCTAAATTAGGCTGCCACTCTGGGATTTGAATCCTGTATACCGCAACCACTGAGAGCTGATGGCATCGGCACCTGGTCGTTACGGTATTCAGGATTGTGGTTGGCGTTGGACTACATGTCGCAACCATCAGGCGCCAATGCCATCCGCTAATAAATCAGCTCCCGGCGGTTGCGACATGTAATCCGACGACGCCCACAATCTCCCTCTTCATCTCCTTCGTGGTGTTGGGAGGAAATTACATCACTCCCAGCACTCTATGGTAGATAGCCACACAGGAGGGAGACATCCAACCATGCACTTCTGGCCCTGAGTCTAACCCATCTGTCTACATCCACATACCTTTTTATTGTAATATATATGTATGTATATGTGTGTGTATCATTGCATACCGCATTACTCTCATATTTGTAATCTTATTAATATATACTTATTTAGTTTTTTTAGTGGTGAAAATTATTAGTGCCCCCCCCAATTTTGACTGTAGTATCTTATGTGCACCCCCTATATATTGTTCCTAGAGTCGCCACTGACTGTATCTAAGGAGGCAGCCATGGCTGTCACCCAGGCTGGACTTCAAGACATATAATTCTCCCTATATCTATATTACATGGGGTGGGGGGGAGGGGGGGTAGAAGAGAAAAGAAAGAAAATATTGTTTGTGATTTCATTTCAACTCTCATGTTTTTCAGGCTCATTTTCAGCAAGTACAGAAACTACCTGTTGATCTATCTTGTCTGATCAACAGAGATTTTGCGTAGTTGCCAAAAAAAAGCCCTCAGCCTGACAAATGAAAACAAATGCAGCTACCACATCTAAGGACTGGCAAGCTGCAATATATTACATTTTTATTATTGGGTTCATATATTCTTCAGCATGTAAAAATATATCAAGTGATAGGTTGACCTTAACCATGTGTATACTGGGTGGAGTTACTGTATACTATATGTCCCTTTTTTGGAACTTAGATATTCAGACAGGTAAAATAACACGACAATCATTTTTTTCAGGACAATTTTTAGCATTTATTTTTTTATAGGTAGAAGCAGGGGTGGCTATATTCACACAATCTTTTGTCTAATTGAAAAACTTACTTTTAATAAACCAGACAAAAGTAGGGCTGCAACTAACAATTATTTTCATAATCGATTAGTTGCCCGATTTTTTTTTGATTAATCGGAATTAAAAGAAAAAACTATTTAAATAGAAACACAATGTCTGAATTGTATGGACAAGACACGTTAACAATTCAATATTCATCACCGAAGGGAAACTCAGGATGGTTGATCCACCTAAAAGAAAATACACTATTACAACACTTTAAGGTAAAACATCCACCTTACAGCACACATAGGCCGACCATAAAGAATGTATATTTAAATAATATTTGTTCATGAATTTTTAGATACAGCTCCGGTCAACAAGCAAACAAAAAACAAAGGGGTAATACAAAAAAATGACATTCTTAAAGTGACCCTTTCTGTTCTGCAATCAGAATAAAGTATATCAAATATATCACAAAGTCTTTTTTATATATTTCTATTGAGTGGGGGTGTGGTGCACCATGACTGTGAACGCCTATCTACAGTTGCTGCTAATCAGAATCAAGTATTATCCTAAATATAATGCAGACATCCTCAGGCACCTACATGGACCTTTCCCTGGGATCTTTTAAAGTGTATGTTACCCTAGAAATCATAGTTCCTTGGTTTTTGCTGATAAATACCTGCTGATCCTGCCAGTTCCCATTGGCTCCTGTTTCAAACTGACCACGCCAAGCATGGAAACAGATCCCTGCTGGTATCGTCAGTTTGCATTCCTGGGATCAGTGCGGCCGCTGGGTGTCACCTGAAGGGACGTCATCATACAGCATGTGCGTGATAACATCACGTGCACTTAACTACAAGCGGTCATCTTGGTGATGGATGCCGACAGAGAGTGGAAGGGAAGCTCATCTGGCGGGATAAGGCATGCCACTGCGTCCCCTCTTTTCTCGTGCAGCTGTCGGGCTCTCGGTCCATCCTTAGATGTGGTGTCTACATTACTTTTCAGGATTTTCATCCTTTATTTTCACCTGGTGATCCTGCCAGTAACATGCTTCCTGTCCTAGGGTGACCATGTTTATTCACCCTTCTGTATCAGGATAGCAGAAATAAGATAAGAGTACAGGACCCTGCCCCACTCCTATCCTCCATAACAGAGAAGGGAGTGGTTCTGTAGTCCTCTGAGACAGCTGAGAACAGCGCCATTGATAAAAGTCAGCACAGCCAGAGAGCACAGGAAGATATCAGCTAACAAGGTATCTAGCAAGATCAACGGGTATGTTTTCGTACTTATCAAATGTGTTAAGTGACCTCACAGACTAATAAAGAGGATGAGGAAGTGGACATGGCCTAGCTAAACCTTTACAGGAAAATCTGACATTTTCATTTAACTTCACCAACTTGTATGTCTGACATGCAGTTTCAGTTAATCTGTGGGTACTACATGTGTGTTTTTCACCTGTGCTCAGGTTGATATGACCAGAATTGTAACAGGTTCACTTTAAGGCAATGGCTGAACGACAATATTCAGCAATACTTACTGCTTAGCCTCCACATAACGATAATTTCTGTCAAGAGCTTCAAGTTCCTTCATATCTTCTGAAGGCAAATCAAAGTCAAACACCTGAGAAACATAATTACAGTTTGTTGATTAAAATAAACACTATCAAGGAGAAAAGTGACATATCATTAATCTCAATTTTACATTTCAATCTAACCTTTAACTTACAATTAACCTGAATCCAATCCTTAGCACAGATTTGATTCAGATGGACATCTGTAACTGGACACGTGGCAAGCAGTTCTGAACCTGGACAAACATTCCACTAGCCATCAATGCCACGACACTGCTACTCCAACTGACTACTAATAGAAAGAGCATCCCCCCCACCCCAGACCACCAATGCCAGGGCACTCCTACACTGACCACTAAAAGAATGAGCATCCTTCTCCCCGCCCCCAACCACTAATGCCAGGGCACCCCTACTCTCACTGACTACTAATAGAAGGAACATCCCCCCACCACCACCATTGCTACAGCATTCTCTCCTCTGACAATTTAAGGAACATTCTTCCTCCCACTGACCACCAATATAAGGAACATTTTTCCTGCTACCACTGATCACCATTATGAGGGGGAATTCTTCCTACCACTGTCCACCAATATAAGGAACATTTTGCCACCACAAATATAAGGGGGATTCTTCCTTCCAATTGCCATCAATGTAAGATGAATTCCTTCGAATGCAAGCTGCATTTTTTACTGCCACTGACCACCATTATAACGGGACATTCTTTCTGAAGGAGCAATCTTCCTCTGACTGACTCCCAATGTAAAGGGTATTCTTCCTGCTACTGACCCCCAATGTAAGGAGTATTCTTCCTGCTACTGAACGCCAATGCAAGGGGTATTCTTCCTGCTACTGACCGCCAATGCAAGGGGTATTCTTCCTGCTACTGACCGCCAATGCAAGGGGTATCCTTCCTGCTACTGACCGCCAATGCAAGGGGTATACTTCCTGCTACTGATCCTCAATATAAGGGGCATTCTTCCTCCCACTGACACTAATGTAAGATGCATTCTCTCCTCACTTGCCACCAATGTAAGGAATATTTTTCCACCCACTAACACCAAAGTAAGGATCATTCTTCCTCCCACTGACCACCAATGTAGGGGCATTTTCCTGCTACTGACACCAATGTAAGGGGTGTAGGTAACAACCATGCTGCGTTTCTACATTGCTTCCAAAGCTCACCTGAAAGTTTTCTTTGATCCTTATGGGGTTAAAGCTTTTTGCCAGGACAACAACTCCGAGCTGCAGAAGGAACCTTAATGCGACCTGAGCGGGTGACTTGTTGTGTTTCCTGGCTATGGCCAACAAAACTGGATCCTCTAAGACAACTGGAGCATTCTGATCAATCCTAAAATATATAGATATAATTACAATAACAGGAGCCTCAGTTCCTCATCCCTGCTTACAACTCACATAAAACGGTCACTGAGCTATCCGTTTACTCAGTATGGAGAAGGAAGCCTGTACGGTGTTAGACTGCACACCACAACCGCGACATAGCAGAGAAGAGCAAATGGGACCTTATTGACCTAAATGATAAAAACAACTTGCCAACAGAAATATATAAACCAAGGTAGATGGCTTTAACCCCTTGTATTGTTTTTGCAATCAAAAGCTAATTATAATTGAATGACATTGGTGGAAAATTGTCCTTTGTATTACTTGTGTAAGCCTATCATTCCCATACTTTTCCCTGCAACCTCCAAATGAAATAAGAAACAAATCCATTATAGAGAACTTGAAGTCTCTTCCTTATTACTAATATGTGTTATGGACAGAAACCCACAAAACTAACAGGAGAACATGTAAATTCCATGCAGGTAAAGGCCTGGCAGTAGTTAAACCAAAGGCCCCAGTACTGTAAAGCAAAAGTACTCGTTACAGTTCATCAAGAACCCATATATATAACAAAATCGCTACAGCATGCGACTACTTTTTTTTGAGGAAGGCAATATTCATTGGCCTCACCATCTCTCGTCTCTGCTGGACCCCAGCACGCTGTACCCAACCAGAACAATGTCCTGCGATTTGCAGAATTCCAAAAGCTTTCTCTGGTTCAGGTAGATGTGACATTCCACCTGTAGAGGGCGCCAGTAACCAAATAAAATGAAAAAGAAGAAAACTTTTATACTTGTGTTCGCTTATATTGGTATTTTCTACACATTTCTCTGGGATCCGTTTTAGACAACATTGAAAGTCAGTATGTAATTTTATTTCTCTACAGGAAAACTCAAGAATTTATTTATATTTTTTTAGGTATGTTAAAGTGTATGTAAACCCTTGAAGAGCGGACACGCCATGCCTTAGCACAACGTCCTGCTATTCACACTAGAGAAGGTTGTGCGCATGCTTTCAATGCTGCTATCGTTCATCTCAGTCCATGGTTAGCATTGACAGTAAAGCAGAGGATGCAGGGTAGCATATAGGAGACTGGCAGGATCACCAGGTATTTTGACTTCATTGCCCTGCTCAGAATATAGAAAATGATGAATTATGAAGGTTAACAGGCACTTTGAAAATGATATGAGGTACGTTTTAGGTTTAAATATACTTTAGAGCAAGAAACATTATTATTTATATTTATTATTTATACTTTGCTAAATAGAGAGCTGTGGCTCACACCCAGCAGAGAGACCACTGCTTCCACACAAAGAGCAAGAGTCCTTCTGTACAGCATGCTGACAGGGGACAGGCTTTTCTACTCAAGCTGTGGCTGCACTTTAAAGAAAAGTGCTTTACATCATTGTCAAAGAAATCACATGGAGACACAATAAAAACGCAATATGTGTTTTAAATATTGTGTTGTTTACAAGTCACATATCCAAACACAGACACGGCCAACAAAATGGAGACTGGAAATTATGAAGATTAAAAGAAAGTAAACACATGTAATACGCTTCCTATGTTGTATTACATTTTGAAGCAATGCATTAAAAACGTGCTAACAATTCATTTTGCAAGGCAGATAGATACTCATGCTACCTGGTTGCACACTGGTCTGTACTTGAGTCCTGTTTTGTTGAGAATCAGTTCAAGCTGTCTGCGGTTAAAATTGGAGACTCCGATAGACCTCACTAGACCTGCATCCAAACACTTCTCCATAGCCTAGGAAATATAAAGTGGTTGCTGGGTAGTAAGGAGTGATGGCATAGGGGAAAGGAATGAAAGCAATAGAGGAAAGGAAAGGGAGGGGGAGAGGTGAGCAGTGTGCTGGTTAGATGAAAGTAGAGAAGAAGAACGGTTAGGAAAAGTAAAGGAAAGGAGAGTGGAAAGTAAAGGAAAGGAAAAGGAAAGGAAAGAGTAAAGGAAAAAGAAAAGGAAAGTGGAGAGAAAAGAAAAGGAAAGGAGAGCGGAGAGAAGAGGAAAGAAAAGGAGAGTGGAGAGAAAAGGAAAAAAAAAAGGAGAGTGGAGAGAAGGGGAAAGGAACGGAGAGTGGAGAGAAGGGCAAAGGAAAGGAGAGTGGAGAGAAAAGCAAAAGAAAGGAGAGTGGAGAGAAGGGGAAAGGAAAGGAGAGTGGAGAGGAGAGGAAAGGAAAGGAGAGTGGAGAGAAGTGGAAAGGAAAGCAGTGGTGTGGGTAGATGAAAAGGGAAAATAAGAAAGATAAGGGAAAAGGTGGGGATGGGAGAGGAAGAGAGGAGAGAGCTAAGAAAGGAGTGGAAAACATGGAAAGAAGAGAAGAAAAAAAGAGAAACGGAAGGTGGGAGGAGAAGAGAGCAGAAAATATAAGAAAAGGGAAGGAGAAGAAAGGAGAAAAGAGAAGGAAGAACAGAGGGCATGTGAGAAGTGGGGAGGAAAAAAGGAGAAGAGAGAGCAGAGTAGGGAGCATGTGAGAAGTGGGGAGAGGAAGATAGAAAGATGAGAAGAGAGGAAACAGGAGAGAAACGGAAGGGAAGCATTCTAGGGATTGTATCTCTCACCGTATTACATACATACACATTGTCATCTCAATCTTACCTCCCATGTATCTCGTAAATCTGTATTGTGGAAAATTATTTGTCCATTTTCATCTACAGGAAAGGGGTCGTCTCCTGGCTAAAAGACATAAAACACATACTGTGCAGAAACACAGACAGATAGATGATGAACTAGACAGAGACAGAAACCCAGAGCACCAATAACATTACAGCCAGAGCTGAAAGTATTTATTTCCTTTTCCTAGAACAGAATTTCTTGTATTTCCACTCCCTTCAAAACATGAATGAATTTATGAGAGAACATACAATCAAATGTGCAGCTCTATATGAGATAGCGATAAGCGATAAAAATAAATGATACTCTAAAATGGCAGCAAGTAAAACCTAATCCATATTAACATTACCGTATGTACAAAAACAATACTGAACACACTTTTTTAAACTCTGCAAGCATAAGCAATGCACCCTCAAACATGTTAGTTAATATTTTTCATGAAATGAATTCATATAGGATGTTAAATGCATGTAACGTATCCTGCCCTCAATGGTGCCCCCAGGGCAGCCTTCAGAAATTTTGGGGCCCCTTACATGGCTTTAAGCCATCCCCTTGCACCGCCGCCCACCACACTGAGCCAGTCACATCAGTCTCTGACAGAGGAGCTTACACTCTAATGCAGAATGGCACGAGCTGTAGGGGGACTACAAATCCCAGCAATTTATACAGAGCCTGAAAGTGACCCTGCAGAGCACGCCATACATGCTGCACAGCCGATCTGAGACTCTTTATGGTGGGCTCTGCAGGGGTCCCAGGTGGGCTGGTTGGGGCTGCATCTACCTCCCAGCTCCTCTTACCTGCTCCTGCTGCTGGTGCCTGGCCTCCTCTGCCCCCGGACTGGCCGGAAGTGACGTGAGAGATCATACTGATTACCCACTTGACGACCAGGGAATGATTTTCATTCAATATATTGCCTGTTTGGCAATATATTAAATGATATGTGGGCGCTTGCCAGGTTTAAAGATGGCCGCCGATACTCGCGGCGGCCATCTTTCAAAACGAATGTACAGTGGAGAGACCCCCTGGGGACATCGGAGGAGGCATCCCAGTTGAGGGTCTGGAGCGTACGGGCCCCGGCCTCCTCCAGGGCTGCGACCGATGCTGTCACTTGAACGGCCGATACTCATGTAAGGTGCCCGGGCCCCAAGGCTGGCCAGGCCCCTTACATCAATATCGGCCCTGAGTACCCCTAACACATGCACAAGCTTATGATCACTTACCTTCATTTCCAGAGGCATGTGGATAATGAACAGGTCCATGTAATCCAGCTGCAGTTGCTTAAGTGACCTCTCCAGAGTGGGCTGGACATGTTCTGGGGTGTGAAATGTGCTCCAGAGCTGGTAGGATATAAATCATAATTGTCATCACGATGTGTAGAAAATAACAGGATTAAAGTGGATCTCCAGCCGAAACTTTTTTTGTTTTGTTTTTTACTTCTGAAAGAAGGGGGGAAGGACTAGAACTGCACATTTTGAAATGGGCCCCTTCTACGTTGCATTCTCTCTGATTCCAGTTTCTCCCATCAGTGGCCAGGAGTACGGATGGAATGGATCGTGCATCCAGCACACATGTGAACTTACTGTGTCCACCCACCCTCTGCAGAACCATACAGGGTAGTTATAGGAAAGTAACACTTTCCCATGCACAGATCCTGTGCTTGAGCATGTGAAGTCAGATTACATTACCAACCACAGGGGGTGCATTTGTGTGCATCATAGTGCTGGAGTTCATAGTGCTGGGACTATTTATCAAATGATCAACTTCCTTTGAGCTCAGGCTGTCATGGTCCTGTCCCCAATCTGTGAGATGGTGAAGGAGATGCAGCACACTGATGAGATTACCTCTCTGTCACTCTGCTCTCTTCTTCTATAAGCATGTTCTATCTATTTCAACACATGAACTAATTGACTCCTTGTACTGCTCCACCCTCAACCAAGTCAAAGTTCTGTTTTGCAGGGACTGCAAGAAGCTAATACCAAGCCTAAGTACTTACTCTACCTGTATTTAAAAATGCATTTAATGATGTACTTAGAAAACAGAACTGTATTAGTGTATGTATTTTGTTCTGACTGGAGTACAGCTTTTATCATTGACACATTATGTGACACTATGGCAATTGGATGAAGGTGATTGGGTTCTTTCTTTAATGTCTTCATCATTATAGAACAATTTCTGTTGAATGTGACTGCTTGCTCTGTAGCCCAATATTTGTTTTCTGCCCCCATTCAGTATTTTGCCTCCCCAAGGATATCTATTGACCATTCTCAGACTTTACACGGTCATCACACAACTGCACCAACACTGTTCTGATTGCATCACACTTTGACTCATGCATGGACAGCACATACCCCATAAATATATTCTATGTTTGTATTCTGCTCACCTTCCCAGTAAAGAACAGATCTTCTCTCCTTACGGTCCCATCTACAATCTTCTCACGGATTGCACAGCCAACTTCCACTTCATTTCCATAAATATAAGCACTATCAATATGGCGGTACCCAACCTCAATGGCCACTTTGGTGGCTTCCTCTGCCTGGCTCTTAGGAAACTAAAAACAAGGATGTCACATTTTTCTATTGTGGGAAAATAATATATTATACTGAGTAGAATATATTTTTAAAATAACTCTATGCACAGTTTATATCTACAACAATCAGCCATAACATTCTGACGATTGAGAAGTGAAGTGAATAACATTGATTATCTGGTTACAATGGTACCTGGAAGTGGGTGGGATATATTAGACAGCAACTGAACATTTTGTCCCTGAAATTGATGTGTTGGAGGCAGAAAAATGGGCAAGCGTAAGGATTTGAGTGACTCTGACTAGAGCCAAACTGTGATGGCTAGACGACTGGGTCAGAGTAACTTAAAAACTGCAGCTCTTGTGTAATGTTCTTGGTCTGCAGTTGTCAGGACCTACCAAAAGTCGTCCAAGGAAGGAAAACCAGTGAATCGGTGACCAGGACATGGGCAGCCAAAGCTCATTGATGCACATGGGGAGGGAAGGCTGACCTGTGTAGTCCTATCCAATAGAAGAGCTACTGTCGCTCAAAAGGCTTGGTGCCAGATAACACAGCATACCTTCATAGGTCTTGTGAAGTCCATGCCTTGATGGGTCAGGGCTGCTTTGGTGGCAAAAGGGGGATCTACTCAATATTAGGCACATGGTCATAATGTTACGGCTGATCCGTGTACATCGGCCTGTGTCAATGGCATTACTTTATCATCCTTTTGAGATGCTTCCTAAATCATTCAGAGTTCATTGATAGGTGCATTTGGCCTTCACTTGACTTCCTTCTAACTTGATTTTGACCTGGTTTGCAAACACTTGTATGAGAATGTAAAACTCGTCTAATATGAACAAATGCCTGTTGACACTGGCCCTAAAGAACAGTGTGGTTTTGGAAACATCAAAACCCTTCCAACCCTAGCTGTAATAAGCAACGGCCAGAGCTTGTGGGATCCCTATACCTCTAGTCATATACATGTGGAACAGATCAATAGGTTTTGGGGTCAGCATTGTCAACCTTGTTGGTGTTGGACTGTTGGCTCTCAGTGATGAAGCTTCAAGCGTCGGTTACAGCATTTCTGAACCCAATTCTCTATTTCTCAAGACCACATAACCCCTCATGCATTGCTTCCAGCAAGCAATGATAATGTTACATTCACAGGGCTGAGTAAAATACAGTACATTGAGGAAGTACTTCCTATGGGCATCTTCTATAAGTACCGTATTTTTCGCTCCATACGACGCACTTTTTTCCCCCCAAAAGGAGGGGGGAAATGTGCCTGCGTCTTATGGAGCGAATCCCGACGCCCGAGACATGCAGTTTCGGGCGCCGGGCGAGTAGTAGGAGCCACTGCTCGTTTAATACGAGTGATCTAATGAGATCACTGGTATTAAAGCCGAGCAGCGGTGATCGAGTTCAGCAGTAGGAGCTACTGCTCGTTTAATACAAGTGATCTAATGAGATCGAGATCATTATAGAGCAGACGAAGAACGGACGTTCTTCGTCTGCTCTGTGTGATCACTGAGACCGTGGCGCTGTAATCACAGCGCCACCTGTCTCAGCGGTCACTAACTGCAGCTTCTGTCACAGCTTCTGTCATAGAAGCTGTGACAGAAGCTGCAGTCTGTCGAGTGCTCCATAAGGCGCGCCGGACCTCCCTGCGTCCTATGGTCCGGTGCGTCTTATGGACCGCAAAATACGGTAAGTTTACAAACTTCTAGACTGATATGGTTATACCGATTTATTTTTAGTTTTTGAGCATTTATACCCTTTAATATATTGCAGCTTACCAATCCCTAGATGTGGTGGATGCATTAGGCTCTTTTTGAGGCTGTTTTCCTTTATTTTCACCTGATGATTCGGCCAGTAAGTCTGTTATTTTTCAGCTTCCTTGAACAGACCAAGCTGTCCAGCAAATATGCACATAGAGACAGACCATTTACCACTGACATGGGTGCCTACATCGATCATCTTTTGTTCATTTATCGGAAACTGTTATCCCAAAAGGAAAACAAAACTGTTGCTGTAACTACTTAAACTATGATAGCTGGAGTTCAGCTTTAATTTGTTCGTCAAGTTCATCTAAATCTACTAGTGCTCCCCGCAGGGTGGCAACAGTGCTGTCCAACGGTGGCTCAATTGCTCCTCTATAGAGTGGAGCCAGCCTCAGATAGGAAGTGTGTTACTGGTCAGGTTAAATAAAGGGGAAAAAGCCAACAAATGCAGCCACTACATAAAGAAATTGTTAAGCTGCAATATATTTCCTTTTTGTTTTTGGGTTTAGATACGCCTTTAAAGATGTAAACCCTAACTGAATACCATATTGCATAAAGCACTGTGTATTATAGACATATTTTTTATTTTAATATAAAATACCTGTGTTTACCTATTTCTATCCTTTCTTGTACCCAAGTGCTTCTAATCTCCTTTTAATGGGGTAAATTAACATTCTTGAATAAACCGCATCATGGCTGGTTGTCTTTAAATAATTTTCTCCTAAATAATCTAATCCAACATAGCAATGTAATCACAATTCACTTACCTTTTGCGGAGCATAGGTACCAAGTCCAATCACTGGCATTTTATTTCCATTGTTCAGGATCACAACGGATTCCGAGTGAAGGTCCATGCCGCCTCTGTTTCATCCCCCGACTGGTCAGAAGACAGGCAGGTCTTTGGCAGTGTGACTCTTTAATATGCCAGTATGAAATCTCCCTCCCTTCTCATTGAAATCCTGAGTTCTAATTTTACACTGTGCTGATGCAGGCAACCAGAAGGCAGAAAAATTCAGAAAAAAAAAGTACTTTCTGTTCAATGCCACCTGGGCTAGATTTTGTTCTACGCAAACCTTGGTGTTTTTTTCTAAAATAAAAACATGGAACAATAGTGGGATTAAACAGCATAGGAGAGCGCATGTAATACCTGGGTACTAATCACAGGCATTTTGCGGTATAGCCTAGGGGATGCATAGACCCCTTTTTCGCTGCCTCTGTTATAATCAAGGAAAATTATAGTATGATTTCAACGCAAAAACACTTTTAATTATTTTTGGAATAAGTACTTGGAAGTCATATTTTAATACAACTGTGATAGTTGTATCAAAAATGACTTCCAAGTAATTAATCCAAAAATGATTTGATGTTCCATGTTTTGAATATTGCATTTCATAAACAGCTGTCTCTAGGGCTCCTATGTGTTTTAGGATTCCTGTCTTATAGCCAAACGTAATGTGCTTTAAAAAAATATGGCCTTCTTTATTTTTTAATCATGTAGAGTCTTTTTGGTTTTTTGGGGGGGGTAGGGGAGTAGGATAGCTTAGTTTATTTAATTTAGTGTTCTTTGTTTTCAATCCCTATTTTTGTGTGTATTTGATTGTTATTTGCTACTGTTGCTTTACATGTTTTATTTTACTTACTTTTGCTATCTAGTTTGTATTTCTTTCTTTGGGAAATAAAGAGGCTAATAAGGGGATATTTTTGGCACAAGAACAGGCCCAAGGTTTAAAAAGGAGCTTCTGTAAATCTCAGAAGCACATTGCACCCCTAAAAATCACCAAAAAAACACCTTAATGTCCCCACTGACTTCAATGCATTTCACCAAAAGGACTACATTTCCCTGAAATCTCCAGATTCTCACAGAATTCTGGGGAAATGAAAACTGCAAAGTTTGCTCATCCCTGTCCAGAACTTTTTTTTGGACAGTATGTTTGCACATATAAACAGCACGGCCCTGTACAAATATAGCGCACCTTTGGCTGAATCTGGATATTCTTTATTTGGACAAAGATCCGTGTGTAAATGCCGTGACCGGTAGTAACTTGCCAGAACTCATCTTTTGCTGATAACTGCAGTAAATTTAACACAGTCCTGAACTCAAAAGTTGAAGAACTGCTATGTTATAGAGAACATTTACAAACGTTAAGTGTGTCTAAGCAGAACCCTGGAAAATGTATCTTTTGTCTTGAATTCCTCCTAAAAATATCAATGTGCTTCCTGGTATGTAACGGTGCCTAGGCTCTCCTGTGTCTACAGCCTCATAGCTGTAAATCTGCAGTGTGAGATCTAAGGCACTGCTACCTCTAACTGCAAGTCTCAAGAGATTTGGTGATGTCATTGCTGTGCTGCTCACTGCTGTCCTTTCCGGAGGATCTGATGTGAAGAAGCAAAGCCCTGCCTCTACCAAGTTGGCTGCCTCCAAACAGAGACAAAGCAGAACAAGACATGGTAAGTCACTAATTGGGAAAGATCAGCTGCAGGGAGACCACAGGCAATGCTGATGACTAGTCCTTTGCCCTCTACCTACCAGCTTCCAGAGTTCAGTTCCTCTTTTAAAAATGTTTGGTCTTTTTTTACTTAATATAATTACAAAAAATTTTTATTAAAGGGTTATTAAATCCTCAGCAGGTTTTTGCATATATTTATGCTAGCAAGCAGTACATATATGCAAAAGCTTTAGAAAAAAAAAAAAACACCTTTTCAAACAGGTCCGTCCAAACATCTGAAGAGTCTCGGGCAGCCGCAAAGGATCTTGGGGCGGCGCAGTACAGTTCAGATGTTCGGCCGGGAGATGAGGAGAGACACAAGATAAGTCTATGGAGCAGCGTGCACCTGCACAGACTCCGTGGGACATCAGAGGAGAGGAGGACAGAGGAGTCAGAGCTGGATCGGAGACACGCACCAGCGCTGGAGGGACATCTGAAAACTACACTAAAGAAGATGATCGGATTAAGAGACATGATTTAAAGGAGAACTATGGGGTCAGTGTTTTCCCCCATAGTTCTCCTTAGGGTAACGGGAGAAAACAAACTAGCGCCCTCCCGTTACCCTAATGTTATCCTTTAATGTCACTTTAAATACTACTAAAGGAAAGCTTTATTTCACCCCCAAAAATTATAAAAGATACATTTTGTTACAGTGTTGCGTGACATTGGAATTTTCAGCCAAATTTGTACAGTCCTGAAAAATGGCCTGGTAATGTAGGGGGTTAATATGCTGGTACTTAAGTGGTTAAAGTATATCTAAAGGCAAAACTAATTTTTTGTTGTTAATACAGTATTCATCAAAATATCTAGTAACAACTATTTCAAATAATCCTCTATTTTTTTTCCATGTCCCACTGGTGAGATTTCCCTTGACTTCCTGTACTGTAGTCACAACAGGAACTGAAAGGCAACCAAAACAAGTGTCCCCACTGATAGATTTCTCCTCTATTCCTGTTCTAATGACAGCTCAAAATGTTAGATTTTCCTTCAGCTTTCAGTCCCAGTGCCAGAGGTCTCCAGGATAAAAAAAGAGAGGGTAAATCTCCCCAACGAAATTTTAGCTAGACGTGAGGACAGATATCTGATATTTGTTAAGACCTGGAGTGTATGGATAGAATTTCTGGAAGGAACCAACGCTAAATAGGCTCACATGGAGTAATATAAGTAGGTGACAAAGAGCCCTCAATGGAGGTCCTTGTCCATATTTCCCTCACCTGGGGGTTTTTCCTTTTTGTTTTGTTTTGTTTGTTGTGGGTGTATTTATGTACTTGGGTTAGCTAGGTGCAGGAGTATTTTTAAAGGTGTTAGCTAGCCAGGGATGATATTGGGTTGGGTAATATGGAGGTTATTGGGAGCATGCCCGGAACTGGAAGGGGAGGAACTGAAATCAGAATGGGCTGACCTGGCGAATAATTTGGCCGGGTAGAAGCGCACAATTATTATTTAATATACAGTATTATAAATGATGTAAAGATCTTGTCGAGTAGGGGAATATGCACTGATAAGTGTCCTGATACGCAAAAATTGTGCATCTCCTGTAGTTTGGTTTGATGTTGACTTAAATGTTGTGAAGTGTTATGTGAATATTTATATGTTTGATAATCTAATAAAAATTGATTACGAAAAACAGAATCTCCCCGACGAGGTCACAGACTGCAAAAAACAGGGGCTCAAACCCTAAAACACTCCATCCAAAACCATTTTTTTTTTAAAGTTTCGATACAATTAATATTTTAGCGGATTCTATGAATTTCTGCGTGTTTTGCATAAGGTAAATTTCTCCTTGCACTGCCTTGCCATGTATAGCACTCATTTTCAGTGTCCCTGTGAATGGCTTCATCATTTAATTGTTATGTTTGAATTGTGTATTGTGTTACAAAATTTACACAATTTCTGTTCTGCAGAACATTTTGTTCAGTCCCCGGGTATCAAATTCAAGGACTCGGCCCTAGTTATGGTGTGACAGATGGTTTGACTAAACAATACAAAGTGATATCATACAGGATAAATCCGGAGCTTTTATTTTTCATCACATAACTTTTCAACAATTGTATTTCTTGTGCTGTCTGTGCATTTGGACTGCAAAGCCTTTATGACTTAAAGTGGGCAAAATCAAATCAATATATGAGGCAGATATTACATTATATACTGTATTACATACATGATCTGCCCACGTCATTTCCAGCCTTTTTTTGTTAAGCCCCTCCAGCATAGTTGTATCATTCGGTGATCTGGCCAGTAAGTTTCTTATATTTCAACTTCCTTTAACCCTTTCGATACCATCAACGTATGCCATAGGTCGGCAGCAGCGGGACCCTGTAAAGAGACTCCCGACAGCTATAGTCACTGGGAGTCTGTTTACATGTGGTAAAGCCGCCTGATCGCTTCCAGGTGCCAGTAAACTGTGCCCCCCCCCCCCCCCTCAACACCCCCTGCCTTGCTTCCAGGGGTCCACTGTGGGGGGGCACAGTTTACTGGCACCTGGGGGCCTGGCACTGGCATTGCGGGTGTTGGCGGATAGCAGTGAGAGAGAGACTAGCGAACATCCATTTGCTGATCTCCTCTTTGATAAATGAAGCCAGAAGCATATAAAATTCAACGCTGACAGGGGTGCTTACAATGGTCAGCTTTTATTCATTTAGTAAAAACCTTAAACCCAAAAAGAAAAAAATGTTTTTGCAACTGTTGAAAAAATGTTAGCTGGCGTTTGGCTTTCATTTGTTACTTATGTACTTGTGAAAAAGTCTTTACGACGAAACATGTCAAGGAGAAGCTAACACGCTGACGTTATCACGCTGATCACTGCGAGTTTTAAGGATTTTACACTATGTGGCATCTACATTTTTTCCATGAGGCACTGAATGAGCTATAAGGAGAAGTGTGCGGGGGAGGTTAATATTGGCCATCTAGAAGGTGGACTGACAGGAATTGGAACAACTTGAACCGACCAACAGTTTCCAGAAAAACCCAGAGAATTAAAAGGAGATAATGACTACAGAGGAGGCTGCCATCAGCTGTTATTGGAGAATGGCTCGGTAAAGATTATAATCTGAGCGCAGTTTGACCATTTAATAGTGGTCAGAGGAGTCGGGTGAGTGTAATGATTGCACAGAAACACTTAAGATGTTACACTAAGAAATACCTTTTTGGAGTGGAGCACAAGTGCACTTTATATATCGTTGAAATAACTTAATAGAGACTAATTTGTGGAGTTGCACATGTGATCTGGATCACAACACATTGCACATGCAGCTTTGAGATTGTATTGATTTTAACTATTGATTGGGGATGTCACATATTGTGTTGGGATAATCACTAAGCACTTTAATGTTGGGCCTCGTTCACACCAGATGCAGTGCGTTCCAGCCTGATTCTGGCCAGAACGCACTGCATCGCATTGCGGCCGCTCACCTTTTTGTGGGGCA